TTTAAAAAAAAAAAAAAAAAAAAAACTATTATATATTATTAAATATACATAAATATATTATTATTTTATTATTTATCATTTTATTTTAATTATTTATTCATTTAATTTTTTGTTTATTTATTAATTTTTTATTTATTTATCATTAATAAACAATACACAATAAATAAAAAATTCACAAATAAACAACATTATTAAAAATCACATCTAAAGCTTAACAGATAAATAGAATATTCTATAATATTCCCCCCAAAAATGGGCTTAATGAGTTTTTTTCTGACTCACTGTAGAGCTCTATTTATATATTATATTATGTAATAATGCTTATTTGATTATCCAGTTAATTAAATACTTCACTAGTGAAAGGTACTTCATCTCATTTTATTATTTGGAATGTATTTTTTTGAAACCTGATGGACACAAACCAAAAGATTATCAATAACGAATGAAGATCACTTTCATAATATGAACCAAAACTGCTAAAACTTTCTTCGAAATATCTTATTTAGTGTCCACAGAAGAAAGAAATCCATACAAGTTTGGAATGCGTGAATGACAGATTTTATTTTTGGATCAACTGTCCCTTTAAGATGACATTTTCACAGGAATGTTCCAAGACAAAACAAATAAAGCATTTATCATCACATTTATTCCACAGAGTTTTCCTGTGGCGGAGCAGGACTGATTGATTGCAGCAGAGCCTGTGGAAACAACTGCGTGAGATAAAGGCGATTGTGTCATGACAATCCCAAGAACGGCAGCTGCCTTCACAGGAAAACAGGTGTCCACACAGCGAGAGAGCGCCGCTATTTCAGGCAGCTCTCGACGAAACCTACGACACGGGGACGACCGATCTGACACCTGTGTGCGGAGCAACACCGAGGGATCTCTGTTCTCCTTCAAAAGAAGGCTACGGGGTAGAAATACGACACCACTCATAACTGATCACTGTTTAGCAGAACTGAGCTTGCTTGAGACATCAGAGCCAATCTGATCTGGAATTAAACAATTATCAACCGTAAATTTACATTGCACTATTAATTACACTAACGATCAAAAGTTTAGAATCTGTAAGATTTTCTTAATGTTTTTGAAATGAAAAATTTTTGTGAGCGGTCGCACTGGTGTGACCACCGCGTTGCCCAACTCATAAGCACTGCATATAAGAAACATCAAACGGAAAATGAAACAAATGCGTAACGAAACCGCGCTACTCATTTGAGCTGCGCAGCGCGGAGGGAAATTCCAGCATTTTTAGTGACTTTCAAGTATTTCACATTATTTCCAGCACTTTAAAGCTCTAAAAATTATCCAATTTAAACGTTATTTTTAATGGGATGACCAAAATATAATTTGGGGTAAACACTTATGTAAAATAAAAATAAAATACGTCAAATTACCACTATTACTAGTAAATAGCAGCAGATGAGCACTTATTGGGTTATTAGTCGTTCATTTTTACTTTTCGTTTTATATTTTGAAATTATAATATCACTATTATAAAATATCAAATCAAGAAATCCAATTGTCAACGTTTTGCACTTTTTTTGTGTATGAAGTATGAAAAGTCACAGTGCATATAAAGCACTCCTTTTATAATCACTGAAGCTGTCAGTCAGTTCTGTATAATACTATAGAAGAATAATGGCACGTTTAATAAGAGTAGAATATGAAGAAGAGTTCATTTGCAAAAACCGATAATCGCCACTTTAAAAAAAAAATGAGAGTTATTATTACTTGATCAAAACAACCCAACTGCAGTTTGATTGATATTACTTGGAATGCGCAATAAAAAAAACGTGATTTCTGAAATATAAAAATGGAGTTATCGGTTTTTGCAAATGAACTCTTCATATAGGCCTATTAATTGTCCATAAATAGATTTTGCATGTTACTGCTGTAGATTTTGCATGTTACTTAGTGGCGCTGGTGCCACTGCTCTCAAATGTTAGTCTGGAGCCCTGTAGTGGTTGAAGGAGAAAAAGGTGAATGTCCTTGCATGGTCTAGTCAGAGCCCAGACTTAAACCGCACTGAAAATCTGTGGAATGACTTGAAGACTGCAGTCCACAAACACTCACCATCAAATTGAACTGAACTTGAGCAGTTCTGCAAAGAAGAGTGGGCAAATATTGCAAAGTCTAGATGTGCAGAGTTAGTAGAGACAAATCCCAACAGACTAAATGCTGTAATTAAAGTAAAAGGTGGTTCAACAAAATACTGACACAAGGGCTGATCCTTTTTCCAACTCAGTGATTGTTTTTGTTTTTTTTTCTGACATGTTGGGGTTATATCTTTCACTTGGATGTTATAAGTTGCACTGAGTAAATGCAGCTGGATAAAAC